GAGGTATTTTTAGGTATTTACCCAATACATTCAAGGGCTGAAGCGATAGCACAGTGGTAGGGCGTTTGCCTTGCACTCGGCCAGCCCGGCCAACCTGGGTTTGATTCTCTCAGAGAGCCCGGCAAGCCCGGTGAGAGTATCTTGCCTGCACCGCAACGCCTGGCAAGCTCCCCAAGACGTATTCGATATGCTAAACACAGTAACAACAAGTCTCACAAGGGAAATGTTACTGGGCCCGCTCGAGCAAACCGATGAACGGGAGGACAGTGCAGTGCTACCCAATACATCCAGACTCTCCCTCGTCAAGTCAATCTCATACTAGATGCCCTACCCAGGGGTGCATTTCTCCTTCTGCTCCCCCCGTACCCCTTCCATCCCAGAGGACAAATCCAATGCTCGTCTATGACAGGACCCCTCAGTCCTGGCCCTCCCTCTCCAAAGCTCTCACCCATATTCTGCCCACACTGTCATTTGTCTTCTTCAAGTTTCTGGAACACACGCAGCCAGCCCACTGCATTTGTGTAACACGGCTTGTTTGTTTTTGGTGGCCTCACATACTTTGTTTCTGTCCCCTCCAAGCAGTGGGAGCCCCTTAGGGACAAAACTGTATTTTCTACTTTGCAACCTGGCCCGGTGGGGCTGGAGCAAGTCCAGAGGGTTAGGCCGTTGCCTTGCATGTGGTTGAAACAGGCCCAATCTCAGGTGCCACATATGGTCCTAAGGATGGGCAGGAGTGAGCCCTGAGCACAGATGCAGGAGGGAGCCCCAACGACAGCTGGGTGTGGCCCCCAACTACCCCCCTCTCTCAAAAAAGAAATCACATGGAAAGAAAAACTAATAATATTTTGAAATACATCTAAATTGTTATCACGGAAAACGACTTACAGAGGTTGTAAAAATACTCGGTAAAGGGATATGAAATCTGAAAAACCGACCAAGAACTCTGATCATTAAAACCCCTTTTGTAAACTGACTTAAATCCTAGAGTCTAATTCTCAGAGCAAATCCTAAAAGCTTCTCAAGCTGTTAAGCAGAGGACTGTCACCTTCACCGAGTGACTGCAGCACTGGCCCCCAGAGGGCAAATGAGCAGAGAGCCCGGCCTTCTCTTCTCCCCAACACCCATTCAGAAGCTCTCCCCCATTAATTACAGAGAGCCGGGGAGGAACCCAGCCATGCTCTTGGCGACTTTAAAGATAATACAAGCAGCTGCACTTTTTCTTTTTTTAATTATTGTTTTGTTTTTGGGTCACATCTGGCAGTGCTCAGGGGCTACTCCTGGCTCTGCACTCAGGGAGCACGCCTGGTGGTGCTTGTTGAACCATATGGAATTCCGGAGACCGAACCCAGGTCGGCTGCGTGCAAGGCAAACGTCTTCCGTGCTGGACCAACGCTTCGGCCCCAGAACTGCGCTTTCCTCTGGTGCCCTGGTCCCCGAGGACCTCACAGCTCTGTCCGAGGGGCTGTATTCACCACATCTTCAGAGAATGGCTGATCACATTTTCCTGCTGCTAACCTTTCTGCCAGTTTTTCTAGTCAACAGAGGAAACAAATTAAGCAGGAGATAAAGTGAAAGAAGATGAAGATGAGGATGAGAAGGTTGACACCTCCCTCCTTTGGAGCTATTATTATTTGACATAATAGCATAAAAAAAAATTTTTTTTTTTGCAGTTCCAGGGATCAAAGCCAGGGCCTCACACATGAAGCAAGGGCACTGCCACTGAGTCACATCCCTGGTCCCAGTTAGTTCATCTACATATCACAGTCCATATATTTCAGCAATGCCCAGAACTGGTAAATACCTGGCTTGGTAAGGCGAGGTCTGGCCTTAGTGTTCGCTTTCCCTCCTCAACCCCTACATTTCAGCTTTGGTCTCTATCACTTGGTCACCATCCCTTGCTGGGTTCCTACAGTTTTTCTGAGTCCACTACCTGCTTTTTCACTACTCACTGCACTTAACCATTTTTTTTGGGGGGGGAAGTATGTGATGGAGCCCCCTTTCCCTCTCTGAAACTCTTTCCTTTCTCAGAATCTCACACTGCCAAACCACTAAGGACAGAGCTTGAGTTCCCTGGTGCCGTCTCTCCTTGCCCCGTTCCACCTGGAGGCCAAGCTAAAGGGGGGAGGGGGGCAGGTCAGGTGTAAACGCAGCTGCAGATCAGTGGTTTTGAACCTTCGTGCACCTGCGGGCCAGTGACTAAAGATCACTCACTGGCCCGGGGTGAAGAGAACCAAAATGAGCGTCCAGAACACCGGTTGCAGGATACTTAGGGCCCGGAAATCAAAGCTAGGGACGGAAGCATGAGAAGGACTCTGAGCCCCAACTTGTGTATTTGCGAGAGCCAGCGGCACCCCAATTTGGCGTATCGCCCCCTTCAGAAAAAAAACGGTCGATTCCCCCATGGAAATCTGCCTTCTTAGAGCGAGCAAACAGAAGCTGTCCCCAGTGGTACACGGAGCTACTCTCTCCTGCACCCCAGGGTCATGCCAGCCAGCCCCTGCGTGGGAGGTGACACCCAGTGGGTGTGAAACACAATGCTGGGCTCGAACTGGAAGCTTTGTGGGCGTGGTGCCATAGACCGCAGCCCCACAGAGCTCTGAGCTGCCCCCTGCTCTCCGCCCAGGCTGGCTTCGAGGTGCCCCGTCTGTCCCTTGCTCTCGTCTCCCCTCTTTCTCTGGGATGTACACTCTGGCTGGTTTGCTGAGTGGAACACGCTAATTCATGAAGCCCAGAGACATCAGGAGAATTTTTTAAAAGGTGCCACATCCTGGGGAGCTGGGGAGGCCAATTCTCTCCCGGCTGCACAATCTGCCTGACCCCTCCGGGGCATCTGAGTGCAGCGTGGCCCCTGGCTCAGCCCTGTCCCCTTTCAGTTATACTGGACACTGGATTGGGCACATGACGAGATTCCCAGAGGCAGTGCTGCGGCCCGTTCACATCGGGTCCAGGAGGCAGAATGTGGAAAGGGCTTGGTTGACCTATTCACACCCCCGAGGAAAACGATTCCGAATCTTCCCAGTTTCCTGAGTGGCTCATGCCAGTCCTGCCTCTTAACTGCTGCCCTGCCTGCTGCTCCCTCCGGCTGTTGCCCTGGCCTCGCTGACAATGTGCCATCTCCCTGTGCTCATGGGCACAGACCCCCACACCAGCGTCACTCCAGAGGGGAGACGGAACCTGGCTTCTGCTCCCATGCGGGACATCACGGGAGAGCTGAGTCTTGTGTGTGAGTCTGCAGGGCTGAGGGGCACCCGCGACCTGTGGAGCGGGGGGTAGCAAGGGCCGAGTACAGAGAAGCCAGGACTGGGAGCGGTCACAGGGCTTCCCGAAGCTTTTTCCCAAGGCCTGAGGAGGAAGAGAAGCCGGTGCTGCCAGCCGGGGCATTTAAATATTACTCATCCGCAATAACGATGACAAGGGCTCAAAGTGAAAGTAGGGTGTTTCACAGAGGTGCTGGCCATCCGCAGGCAATGGAAACTGATATTCTGGTCCCTAATCATTAAGGTTTAAGAAACGGCTAGTTTCTCAACACTCACAGAAACCACAAATTTCAAAGGAAGATTTGACTTCACTTTGCTTACTGGAAACGGGGGCTAGCCTATCTCTCCCCCCACAACTGAACTCCACTCACTCCTTCAGGCAAGTCAGTAACATGTTAAACATCCCTCCACTACCGTTTGGTCCTTTAAGATATTACCTCTATGTGATTTTATGGGAAAGCAAAATAACCCTGAATCTTACATATTTTTCTTGGGCTTATTTGAGATTACTGGACACTCTGAGAAATGTATTAAATGTTTCAGAGTTTTGAAAGGGAAACATCTGACATGGAAGTCCCAAACACTGACAATCTCAGGGAGACGACAGAAAAAAAAGTAATTTAGCATCATCAAATAGCCACATCATTATTTTATGGGGAAAATAATGGCGAGAGTATTTAGATTTAATTTTAAAAGTCAACACGGAAAGATCAACCTGGCAATCTCTATTATGGGAAATCATTTCCTTTTCTTTTTTTTCTTTCTTTTTTTTTTTTTTCTGGAACAGAGTTACTGGTCAGATGGAGAGGAAAGAGACTAAACAAAGGCAAAGGGTCCTCCAGGGGCCATGCCAGAAACTGTGGGAAGTAAACTCTCTGGAAAGTGGGCAAGGAGTGAATTATTTTTTTCATTAAAAAAAAAAGGGAAATTCTAGAAGTCTAATTCCTTTAAAAGGTCCAAATTTTAAGCAGCCCAAAACATCAATAAGTTATCCCTATACCCATTACATATGCCTACTTCAGGATCACTGATGTGACAGCCACAAAGGCAGAAGAATGGTTTATGTATAGATACAACGAACAGATACTGTTACCTTCTCAACAAGGAAGGGGCTAGGGCTCGGGACCAGGGGCTGGGCTTTGAAATAGGCAGCCGGGCCAGGAGCAATGCACTCCTTCAGAGCAGTCTCTCTAGCCGAGGTTAGATTTCACATTCTGGACGAATAGCAACAGGAGCTTAGCAGCGCGTTCCAACCAACCACAGGAAAATAGCTCCGAGGGGGAGTGAACTGCTGATATGAATGGGGCATTGAGCAAGGGTGCCCGACGGAAGCACGGGAACGGCCGGGGGGGACGGACCGGGGCCGGTCCAGGGGGTGGGGGACACTCGCTAAGCATCCCCCCCACACACACCCGGGGGTCGGGGTGTCGGGGGAGAGCTGGGGGAGGGCCAGGCCGTGGTGAGAGGTCAGTGGTCGTTCACTTCTGCGGGTTGGCGAGTCCAAGGAGCGCGGTGGTCTGCAGCGCTGGGAAAAGCGGACAAACAGGCTCACCCCGGGGTGGGGTGGGAAGGCGCGGGGGCGGCGGGGGCGCCCCCTCCCCCCGGGTTCCCGGGTGGGTACCACGGGGGCCAGCAGAAGTGGAGAGGCGCAGGGATGTCTGGGCAGGTGTGTCGGCGGTGCGGGGCGGCGGGACCCGCACTGAGCGGCAAGCAGGCGGCGGCGTGGCCAACCTCGGGACTTACCTTACTGTCATCCATCTCGGCGGGCAGGCCGGGGTGGCCGGGCGCGCCCTCCCCCTGCCCTGGCCCGGCCCCCGCCCCGGGGTGCGGGGTGGGGGGGAGGGGGGGAGAAGGGGGATGTGGTCCTGACTGCCTCCTCCTCTCGCCTAACCCTTGGCTTTGCCTTGATGCCACAGTCACGGGGACTAGGGACCCGCTCAGGAGAGGCAGAGCGGAGCCGGGAGGCGGCCCCGAACGCCACCCCGGGCCGCCGCCGCCTCCTCCTCCCCGTCCATGACAGTCTCGGGGTGTGTTTACAGACGCCCTGGAGAGCCGCCCGGACGGCCGGGGTGGGCGGGGAAGCGGCACGCGGAATGGCCCCCGCGGCTGCCGTAGCCGCGCGGCCTGCTGGGAATTGTAGTTCCGCTCCCCGCGGGCGCCTGCGCGGCCGGAGCCCGCGAGAACTACAATGTCCACACGGCCTCGGCCGCGCGTCTGTTTTTTGCCTCCGGCCCGGCGCGCGCCGCGGAGGCGGGGCCCTGGGGAGGCGGGGCCAGGCGGGAGGCGAAGCTGCGATTGGCCCCGAGCGCGCGGGCCGCTGCGGTTGCTGACCCGACCCGGGGGGCAGGGGTGCGCGCGGACGGCTGGGGGCCGCGCGGGGAAAGATTCGGGGCGCCCCTTGGAGGGGGGGCGGGCTGGGAATGGACCGAGGGAACCCAGAAGTTGCAGAAAGCAGCCGAGAACGTCACATGGTGCGGCTTTGGGGGCAAACAATTCGCTGTTCCTCCCCAAAGCGGCCAGGGCTACCGTATGGTCGGCAGTGCCTTGAACCAGGAAAGCATCTTGTCCGCAGGAGACCCTGAACGCCAGTGTCTCTCATCGCATAAGGCATTAGGCGTTAGTCCTAAGGGCCGGGAAAGCAGAAATAGCCCAGCGAACCTCGGTGTCCCAATAGGAAAACGCCAGGGTGATTATTGGACCTGGGGAGGGGGCAAACACGTGATGCCCTCGGGACCTGATCAGGCTCTCGGGCCACTGACCAGCTCCCGTTTCTAAGGAAATGTCTCAAGTCGGCTATGTGGGTCAAGTGACAAGTGGGTGAGGGGTTGCCAGGAGCCGAGGTTGGGGACCTGGGGGCGGGGTGCAGGGCTGAGTGGGGAGCGATTGGTCCTGGGTGCTGGGCTTCTTTCCGGAGTGATGAACGTGTTGGAAAATGGATTTGGTGACACCTGGCACAGCACTCCCAATAAACTAAAGGAAACAGGCCACGGGCTCGGACCTTTCCGAGTGGGACTTAGGGTGTGTGAATGGTAGCTCAGTCAGGCCGCTGCAGAGCGAGCATCTTCATTTTCCTGGTGGCGCAGAGGCAGTTTTGTGGTGGTGTTAGCCTGAATTTGGCCACTGAGAACGTGGCAAAGATGCTGTGCTGGTTCCTGCACCTTCTAGAGGGTGACCCTGCCACTGTTGACAAAGACTGCCGAAGTGCTTTCCTAAATCCTTCCCAAACCCACCACGTAGAATTCCTGGGTTTTAGGGGTCTGGAACAAAAGCACAAAGGGTAAGGTGCTTGCCTGCATGCACCCCACCTGAGTTTAGTTCTCAGCACCACATAGGGCCCTATGTGTAGAGTAAGTCCGCTACTACCACCATCAACATAAACTTTCCCCAGATTTGAAATAAATATATGCAGGACACACTTTTGAATTTCTCATACGTGAACACCATTTGAGTATAAATAAAGTATGTCCCAAAAGGTATTTGAGACACACTTTTATGACCCTCTCCAAAGTCATCCAGGTTCACCTGAAACTCTACTGTCTAACTGGGTATCCTCTATTCTCCCAGCTTCCAATTGAGGGAGTCTTCAGAGGAAAGTTGGATGCCTCTGCTCGCAGCCTAAGAGAAACTAAAGCAGATTGTTTCTCACGTTAAAACCACTGAGCTAGGGCGTGTAGCTGGGAGTGGGTCTGATATGCTGAAATTGCTACCAAAGGACCCAGCCAAGACAGCCAGATCCCCAACCTGCATGTCCGGGGCTTGAGGGATGCCCAGACACGTCTGCTTTAATGGTCAGGGGTGCTGCACTCAGTGCTCTTCTGAGCTCATGTGCTCTTCCTGTTCTCACATCTTTCAGGGTTGACACCCCCAGGAGTGCTTTGAGACCTTCCTGCTCCGCATAGCCTCAGTCTGGCTTTCCTGGTTCTGCCCTTATTGCTTCCGTGTCTTTTCTTTGTCTCTTCTTTGAAGGTGGAAGGGCTTTGCCCCTGCCTTGGTTCTTCGCTGCTCTCCTAGTAACCCCTCTGAAAAGCACTCCCTGACTTCTGGAAGGATCTTTCTCCACCCATGGCCAGGCAGTAGCACACAGACTAGATGCTGGCTCCATAAAGGCCACTAAGAACCTTTGAATCATGTGGGGAATTAATCACAGGCTTGGGCACCTGCACACCAGTTTTAGGAGAGTGGGTGTCTTTAAGGAGGGAGAGGAAGGGGATGAGGAGGTCATGGGGAGTTAGCTGCACTTTTCAACTCTTAAAGAGATGAAGCAGGGCTGCAGAGATAGTTCAGCGGGCTGGTGCTTGAATTGCATGCTCCCACCTGGGTTCAATCTTCAGCACCACATCACAGTCACAGTCCTCCTGTTATTCATCGATTTTGCTTGAGCACGCCCAGTAACGTCTCCATCATGAGACTTGTTGTTACTGTGTTTGGCATATTGAATACGTCACAAGTAGCTTGCCAGGCTTTGCCGTGCGGGCAAGATTCTCTCGGTAGCTTGCCAGGCTCTCCGAGAGGGGCAGAGGAATCGAACCTGGCTCGGCCGCGCCGGCTGTGCACAAGGCAAACGCCCTACCACTGTGCTATCGCTCCAGCCCCACATATGGGCCCCAAAATAGTGCCAGGAGTTACCCCTGAGGGCAAAGCCAGGAGTAAACCCAGAACACTGCTGTGTGTGAACCCAAACAAAACAATATCTCCCCAAAACAATAAAGAAATGAAACAAATAGAGCAGGGTTATAGCTCAATGGTAAAACACTCGCAGTAGTGAGAGTAGTAAGAGCAATCACCAAACAAGGCATGCAGCAAAAGGGATTAGAGACCAAGTTTAAGGAGGGCGAGCAGAGAAGTGGCAGCAAGACACCGTGGAAGTGGGAGAGCCGGGCAGTCCCTGGTCCCTGGAGAAGTAGATACACCGGGTGCATGTTCTGGTTGGGACGGGAAGGAAGCTTAGAAGAAGAATAGGTACTCAGGATTCAGGGCATCCTTTATTTATTTATTTAATTTATTTTTGCTTTTTGAGTCACACCCGGCGATTCACAGGGGTTACTCCTAGCTCTGCACTCAGGAATTACTCCTGGCGGTGCTCAGGGGACCATATAGGATGCTGGGAATCGAACCAGGGTTGGCTGCGTGCAGGGCAAATGGCCTCCCCACTGTGCCATCGCTCTATCCGCTCAGGGCATACTGTAGAGTCATGGTTTTAATCTTCTCTCTCTCTCTCTTTTTTTTTTTCTTTTTGGGTCATACCCGGCGATGCTCAGGGGTTCCTCCTGGCTCTGCACTCAGGAATTACTCCTGGTGGTGCTCGGGGGACCCTATAGGATGCTGGGAATCGAACCTGGGTCAGCCGCGTGCAAGGCAAATGCCCTATCCGCTGTGCTATTGCTCCAGCCCCCAAGTCTTCTCTTTTGTAGAAACGAACCTCCAAGGCATGAAATTCCTGTTCAAAAATGCATCTCATTTTCTCTTTCCCCTGCCTCTCCCCACACACCCACATTTTCATCTACTCTCGGACACCCCCGCGTGGAGACACCGTGGGCTTCCTTCCACCCAGCCAGCTCTGTGTGCAGCTCTGCTGAGTTTCAGGTGGCAAGTACTTTAGCAGCATGGAACACACCACCAGGTCTACTCTCTCTGTCCGTCTATTTGTCTGTCTGTCTGTCTGTCTGTCAGTCTGTCTCTCTCTCTCTTTCTCTCTCTCTCTCTCTCTCTCTCTCGTGTGTGTGTGTGTGTGTGTGTGTGTGTGTGTCTTCTTCCCTTCACTGCCTGCTTAGAGAGCACAGGTGTCCAAACAGAGCCAAGATGATCGTGTTACTGCCCGGGCCACATGGGTCAGCTTGGCCCGTACCCTCTGGGTCACATCAGAGGGAGAGGAAGCTCATTAAAATAGCCACTGTGGGCTCCAGCTGGCTCTCCGTTAAGTCTGACACACAGGAGTTGAAGAATTCAAAATTTTATCCAGTCTTTTCCAAACTTCCACTGGGAATGAATAATGGTTGGATTCGGTTCTGGCACATAGCATTTTAGCAAAAGAGTATGTGCCAGAAAGAGCACTGGAGCAGGAGTGGTAGAACAGTGAGGAGGGTGTTGCCCCTGCACGCTGCAGACCAGGTTCAATCCCCAGCACCCCATATGGTCCTTTGAGCCCTGCCAAAGGTGACCCCTGGGTGCAAAGCCAAGAATAAGCCCTGAGCACTGCCAGTTGTAACCTCAAAATCAAAATCACCCACAAAGAAACACTGTCACTGTCACTGTCCTCCTGTTGTTCATCGATTTGCTCCAGCGGGCCCAGTACATTGTGAGACTTGTTACTGTGTTTGGCATATCAAATATGTCACAGGGAGCTTGCCAGGCCCTGCCGTGCGGGCGAGATACTCTTGGTAGCTTGCCGGGTTCTCCGAGAGGGGCGGAGGAATCGAACTCGGGTCGGCCGTGTTGGCCGCGTGCAAGGCAAACGCCCTACTTGCTGTGCTATAAAGAAACAAAGGGGTCCATAATGTGGGCCCGCATGGATCTTTGCTCACACATGGACACAGGAAAGAAGGTAGCCCCGAGTCCTCCCACAAATGCCAAGTTCTGACTTTTCTGTCTCTGGCTGGATTTTTTGCTGCTTCGGGACGAAGAGGTCAAAACATAGCAGGCTTGTACACGTACGACCATTTGTGGGTTCTTCAGATCCTGATGCCCAAGGAAAGGAGAAAAACTATTCAAGAGAAACAAACCCGTGATTGAAGAGAGGTAGGGGGTGGCATGAGATTAAGTGAGGAGGGTAAGGGAGCAAAAAATTAACCATGCTGTGGAAACCACACAGTCGGGGAACAGTACCATATTCTACACTCAGGAATGCCCGGGCTACGTTGATATGTAAATCTGGTCCTTGAACAACAGACTATTATTGCCGCTGTGATGGTCAGCTTCAGAGGTGCAGAGGAAAAGTGGGCGGGTCATGTGAAATTCATGAAATGCTTGAGGTGAGATCACTGTGAAAGCATTAGTCATATTCTGTTTTGTGTGTGACTTTTTTTTTTTTGCCCCTCCCAATTTATTTGATAGATAAGTGTCCCTCTGTACTTTTGCTTTCCGG